CGCCTCTAAAAATCGCGTGCTATGGAATCGTAAGAAACGGTCAGAGGGTGAGACCCCATGCTCTTGACTGATCCAGACTCGAGATGTTTGAATTGTGTAAACTGGAGATGAATTTCGTCAAAGAGTGTCAAACCACTCTAGAAACCTAGACGATCTTAGAAGAAATAAAGGTACTTTATAGGCCAGTAATAATCGTTGCAGCGTTGTGAAGCTAATCTTAATCAATTAGTTATTTTAAGTGAACGGTTATCTGTAGTGAGCCCATTAAATTAAAATTGAAAACACGGTACACAAGGTGACGTGCTACACGAGCTATATATTAATTTGGTCTAAAACTTTGATTAAAATAAAGAATAAATTAAATTAGATGGCAGGAATAGTGGATCATGATAGATTTGAAATCATTATTTTATAAATAATTGTAAAGACGTATGGAATAGACAACTAATTTCCCTCAAATGTGTATCATGTGCCTACTTTTTTTTAAGAAAAATATATATATCTAGAAGGGTCCCACCGCCCCTAGCCGACCCCAAAAGTTTAGTCATGATCACATTCGCAAGGACCATGAATAAAAATAGTCCTTCCGAGAAAGAGGCGATTTGATAGGACTGATAGCAGGCATAGTTACGTGAAAGAAAAAATTTCTTGGTGGAGTCCCTCGAGAATAGAATAGTCTCCCACCACGGTTTTATTACTTGACTGTGAGATCTCATGTCGGTTCGAGAGGAGAACGAAACATTCTTTTATAAAGGTGTGGAAACTTCTTCCTACCCCTCGAAAAGAAAAGCCTAAAGAGGACAATATTTGCTAGTGGTGGGCTTGGGCCGTTACAAATGATATCAGAACCAAACACCAGGCGATGTACCGACGAGGATGCTGGGCCTATTGGAGGTCATAATTTATCTTCACAATTAAAGATTTTTTTTATTAATATTGTCTATCTTTATGTTATCGCTATCTTCACGTAATCAAATAAGAATTATATTCTTTTTTACGCAAAATATTGATGTGACGTAATTTAAATATAATTATAATTTTCATATATATAGTTTTTTAATAATAATAAAAGATTAAAAAAAAAAGAATTTTTTTATTAATCTGAATTTTTTATTCCTTTTATGAAAGCATATTATTGGGTAATTGCTCCGAATTATTAATTATTATATAAGTTTTGACTGTTTCTTCACGTGGGGCTGCCTTTCTCGAGATATAGTCACGTGATTTTTTAATTAAATATTTAACATGAGAAATTATTTGATAGCATGGCTGCTTTTATTATTATTATTTTATGTTATTAAATATAATTTTATTAAAAATTTAAAATCAAATTATTTGGGACACAAGGCGACTGCTACTAACCGAGCCAAGTCCAATTCTCGCTTCTAAATCTTGTCAATCATAATAAGTAGTGTTGCTTTTTAAGTTTAGAATCCAATTATTCGAGATTATACGTTTGAATTAAGTTTTAAGATGTCCACGAGGTTGGACAGGGATGTGAAGTAGGTCCTTATAGGACCCCGATTTTGCGGGTTCGATAGACATTTCTAATTGAGTTACTTGATGGGTTTCTAAAACTAGATTGAGTTGAACTGAATTAACTCGAATTTATTGGAAATTTTAAAATATACGAAACAAGCCTTATTATTAATTTGAAGGAACAATTTCTTGTTCAGTTTGAGTATAAACTCTCACGACTTTGTTCATTTCAGCTTCTGAAAAGACCTCGTACCAATGGATAGTAAGGATGATTTAAAGGAAAAAAATAACGTTTTGAAGTGGTGAAGTTAATGATTTAAAGGCAAAATGGTACGTTAACTTTGCCAGTTCAAAATGTTCTTTTTATTATTATTATTATTATTATTATTTGCTAATTATGGGAGGTTGTTTGAACGTTTAACTTTTAATGTTTTAATCCTTTAAGCAATATAAAAAATTATTACCTAATTTTTTTTTTACTATATTACTTAGGTGGAATGAATTATGAATATAAAAAATTAATAATTTTATCATCGAAGATACAGATATCATACCGAATGAGAGTAATCATGAGGATAGGATGACTAAGAATTGTTTAAAATAATTGAAAATTATTACTTGTACCAACAAAGTGCACCTCCTTTTCGGTGGCAAAACTTTCAATCTATGTGTGCATAGGACAAAGCATGCTAAAAGAACTTGGGCAGTACATGAAAATAACAAAATCTTTGGAGGGTAAAAAAAATGTAAGAAATGGTTCGAAAAATTTAACCCAAGCTGAATCAGAGCCAAAAAGGAGCCGACACGTGTAAGGTTTGTCTTTGCCTATCGAGCACAGCTTGTTCGGCTACACACATTGTCTGCGTGAGCATGTTCAATCTTCTACGACCCAACCATAATACCAGGACATCTTGAACATCCATCCATTCAAGTTCTATCGAGGAATTGGACCCTCTTGTGTTCATGTCATATCATTTATGGATTTCGTACGGGATAGTGGGTGCATGATCCAAACTTCGACACATGGGCGTGGGCGCAATGTTGGTATACCTGTGTTGGCCAACACTAACGTCGCCCTCATTGTGACATGAAGGCCTAAGGGTGGAAAGCTAACACCATGTCTCCCCCTAAGTCAATCTGGCAGATGTGGACATTATTTTGGCAAACGGTCATACGGTATTGTGGAGTGTCCATGTGGTGGCCAATGACATTAAATTTGGCAAGCTTTTATACTTCATATGAATAGACTTACTCCATAACTGCACCCAAATTTCCTTCGAAACTCTTACTTTTGAAGTTAAGGCCCCGGGCCCTACCCATCCCTTCAACAAGTCTATCCCTCACACTCATGTCTACGTGGTTGGGCCTTACCCATCCCTTCAACAAGTCTATCTCTCACACTTTGTGGTGTGTTAGATAATGTACAATCCTCCTCAATCGCATGAGCTATCCCCCGTGCATGAGCATACATAATGCATGAGGTCCCAACATTTTTCCGTTTTCATTATCATTTAACATAACCCCGTTAGCATTCTGTACATATCATAACGTTTTTCAAGTCGTTTCAGATATCGATCATCATTCATATCATATCGTTTCTCATTCTTCAGTTCTCATAACATAAATAATTCTAACGGGGTTATATTTCATGTCATTTATCGTGATTTCATGTCATTCATATCATGCTGTATACACAAATTTAAGAGACATAACATAAACGTTTTATACTTTTAACATAACATTTCATCATATACATATCCTACCATAACATATTATATCACAATGTATCATATCATAACCATGTCAACTTATCACATATCATATGACATCCGTCATTCAGATGTCGTACCATAATCATATCACGTCGTAAACACTTCGTGGCCATGTCGTTCCCTAACTTATGATAGCCTTAACGTTCTTATACCTATCATAGTCATATCGTTGCATGAACGTACTTTAGTCATATCATCACAAGAACGTATTCTAGCGCTATCATTCTATCAATCTATCACAAATCTATCCCTTTCTTCTCCTAACCTAACCGTATTCTTTTATCAATCTCTCATATCTATAGTGCTTCAGTATGTAACCTAACTTTAACGTTTCATGAACGTATCTTACTCTTGTCGTTACATTTCATTTTGTGCATCCTTCTCATATCCTATCTCAAACATATCATTGAACACATCATACTGTAGTTATTATCATACAATTCACATATTATAACATATACATAACATATCATAAGCATATCGATCCATAAACAATTCACACATATCAATATATATGACACGTACATAACCACGAGGCACGTCTCAACATCAAATATAACCATGTCGATAGTAAGACCACTTACCTGATTAGCTTAGGCTAGTGTCGCCAATATATTCTTAGTGAAAGTTTGATTCTGTCCTTTAAAATCCAAGTCAACCTATGTGAGCCTATGACATTAGTTTCAAGTTTGAACTCTATAAAATTATTTCTCTAATTTATATTGGTCCATCGTTAAAAGTCTTGAAATGTTATGTATATATATAATGTTATTTTCGCTAAATATCTTGTTTTCTATTCTTACTGTTGCAGTGAATATATTGTTACTAGACATAATTGAATGAAGTTTCTTGCTCCCTGATATTCACAAAATCTTTTCTCAATCTTCTTTCTCGTCTCTGTAATTATTTTTCATTATGTTATTACTCTTCCTCTACATTTATTTTCATTCCGTGTTTATTATTGGCCAATTTTGTTAACCTATTCTTATTTCCAAAATTTCCCTTTTCTTTCTCTCCATTTGTATTTCCTTATTTTCCTACTTCTCAATTTATTGTATTTTTTTTTTATATTATTTTTAATCAATTGTTTGGCTACTATATTAGAGATTGTCTACTAAAAATTGATTCTAACTTTATTTCCGGCAACTTAATGCTAACAAAAATCTAATTAATGGAATAGGAGAGAATGAAAGAAGATTGGACTAACTTAATTTCCAATAAAATATAAAGGAAAAAGAAATCTGAGATAGAATTTATCTTAATAACCGACAAAAATCTCTCTTAAATCTCCATCATATTACTTCTGTTGAAAGCCATTTTATTTTTCTCAAATCTCACATTTTTTCTTTTATTTTTGGACGAATTGTGATATTGTGTCGTGGGTTGAGGAGAGAGGATGAGGTTGGGATGAGAGGTTAGTGGGGGAGAGGTGAATAATTTTATTTTATTTTATTTTAAGTAATCATTTTTAGTTATTTATTTATGAATTATTATTATTATTTTACTTTTATATATATATATATATATATATATTTTTGAGCTATTACAACATCCTTATTAAAATGATTAAGAAAAGTGTACCAAATAAAGAGAGATTTCAGTGTTCGATATTTTCATACATTACCATACGAATTTCAATCTTCATTTCATAAATTTGATAATATTATTGTCATTCTCAACCGAAACGAAATATGTATACCAACAATATAATGTTTTTAGTATTAATATTACTTCGACACAGAAGTAGTTCTTTATTTAAGTTTTCTTGCTGACATGTTTCACTTCGACAAACGGATTTGTTTAGGGCTCTGTACTAATGTGGTCATTGGCAACAACGAAAGCTTTAAAATCAGGTGGTGGTGGAGGAAATTGCTTGGGCACCACTGGACTAAGAGTAGGGTTTTTACCGGGATCGGAATAGTCGTTTATCACAAAAGCTTTAAAATCTGGTGGTGGTGGAGGAAATTGTTTCGGCACCACTGGACTAAGAGTTGGATTTTTACCGGGATCGGAATAGTCGTTTATCACAAAAGCTTTAAAATCCGGTGGTGGTGGAGGAAATTGCTTCGGCACCACTGGACTAAGAGTAGGGTTTTTACCGGGATCAGAATAGTCGTTTATCACAAAAGCTTCAAAATCCGGTGGTGGAGGAGGAAATTGCTTCGGCACCACTGGACTAAGAGTAGGGTTTTTACCGGGATCGGAATAGTCGTTTATCGCAAAAGGTTCAAAATCCGGTGGTGGAGGAGGAAATTGCTTCGGCACCACTGGACTAAGAGTAGGATTTTTACCAGGATCAGAATAGTCGTTTATCACAATCTTGGTTGCTTGTTTTCCTGAAACTTCAATGCACATATTAGATTTAGTTTCCACAAAAGGGATGAAGTGCATGAACTACATACATTTAGAGTATTTGAATTGATAGCGAGTTATGTACCTGAATCGGACATGATTCGAGCTGAGCTAACGAGAGCGAACGATAGCAAGAAGACAAGACAAAGACAACCTTTGAACTCCATCCTGTTTCTTTGTATTTCTTGATGAAATGTGAGTATAATATATATAGAAACGAAAATTTTATTCCGTTGAAACTGACCAATGGAATGAAAGGAAAGTAACTATGATTTAAAGGCAAAAAAGAACGTTTTGAACTGGCGTAGTTAATATACCATTTTGCTAATTATAGGAGGTTGTTTGAACGTTCAACTTTTAATGCATATGTATTATATTTTAATCATTTAACCAATATAAAAAATTATTACCTAATTTAGTTTATATATATTGCTTATTTGTAATGATTATTATGAATATAAAAGATCTGTCGATCTTTGGAAGATATCGATATCATACCTCGTATGCAATAAGAATAAGGGGATACATCAATAAACTGATACCACATTCGAATGGGAGCAATGCTAGGGATAGGATGACTAAAAATTGTTTAAAAGAATTGAAAGTTACTATCTATACCAATAACATTTACTTTCTTTTTCGGTGGCTCAATCATAGAAGATTCATGGTTAAGTGTGTTTTACTTGAAGTAATCTGATGTTGAGTGTCTTCTTAGAAATTTTTCATCCTTAGGTGCATATGAGTGAGGACGGAGCATTCTTGAATAACTCGTGTTAGTTTATGGAAATGACAAAATCTCTAGGAGGGTAAAAAAAAAAAAATGTTAGAAATGACAAAATTGCTAGAACGGATCATGCTTGAAGAACGGTGTGATGTCGTGGAGCTTTTATGCACATCTTTGTGGTGTGTTAGATGATGTACCGTCCTCCTCAATCGCATCATGGTACTTGTCTTGTCTTAGTCTTCGAGTGGTCAATTGGGCACTACTATCGGGTCATCAACTTGTCTTGTCTACATGGAACCACGGGCTGTTTCCACCCCCATGCACCACTCAATGATCACTTACGAGTTTCGGAAAGGAGATTTGAAATGCTCTCGAGTTTATGGTACCTTCTCTCTCAGGAATATGGAAAAATACTCAGATTTCGTACACAATTTCTTTTGTATAACCATAATTTTTATATAAACTTTCATAGAAAATTTCTTTTTCAGAGTTACTAACTTTTGATGCAAACATAAATGATTCATACAAATCTAATGTGTAACAGCCGAAGCACACGGCAAAGAATTAATGGTTTTCAAATACTACGTGAGTATGAACAATACTTCTATTTCCGAGGTCCACATCCTTATTAAAATTAACCAATACGAGGTCCAATGGAAAGAAATATTTGAGGTTACGAAACATATCTACAAATCAAACGATATAAGTATAGCAAAAGAAAAGAAATGATTAAGAGAGAGATTTCAGTGTTCGACATTTTCATATATTGCCATACTAATTTCAATCTTTATTTCATCATAAATGAAGTGATGTGTATACACAACATAACGTCGACACATAAAGTAGTTATTTATTTAAGCTCTCTTGCTGATGTTGCTAGCAACATGTTCCATTTCAACAAACAGATTTGTTTAGGGCTTCGTGACAACGTCAAAATCTTCAAATTGTGGTGGTGGTAGCAGCGCTGACGGTATTATTGGACTATGACTAGGATTAGGACCGGCATCGGGATAGTCGTTTATCACAATCCTATTACCTTGTATTCCTGAAACCTCAACAGGTTCAAATTGTGGTGGTGGTAGCAGCGCCGACGGTATTATTGGACTATGACTAGGATTAGGACCGGCATCAGGATAATCGTTTATCACAATCCTATTACCTTGTATTCCTGAAACTTCAATGATTATAAACAAATGTTTGATTCACATATTAGATTGTGTCTCTATAAAAGGGATGAAGTGCATGAGCCATATAATTTAGACTATATGAGTTGATAGCGGGTTATGTACCTGAATCAGACATGATTCGAGCTGAGCTGACAAGAGCGAACGAGAGTAAGAAACCGAGGCATAGACTAGCTTTGAACTCCATGTTGGTTCTTTGTGTTTCTTACAATTGATAATGAAATGTGAAGCGAGATCTATTTATAAGAAATAGAAATTTTATTCAGTTAAACGTGTGAATGGAATGAAAGGTCGAGCCGAAATAGATGGAAGGGAATGATGATTTTAAAGGCAAAAAAGGCAAAAGAAAAGAAATCTTGAAATCTGGCCAAAGTTAATACCTTTTGCAATTATAGGAGGTTGTTTGAATGTTTTAACTTTTAATGCATATTAACCATTTAAGCGATAATTATGAATATGAATAAAATTTGTCGAGGCTTCCTATTTGATAAAGATAAAATTTGTGATTGCTTCCTTTGCTATAGTTTAACGATAGAATTCTTATATCATACTCGAGTAAAGAAGTGGTATATGAATGAACCGAGACTACATCTAAATAAGAGCCATCTTTAAGATAAGATTCCTAAGAAATGCTTTAAAAAAATAGAAACTACCTGTCCCAACGAGGTACACTTTTTTTTTTTTCGGTGGCTCAATTGTAAGAATTTCATAGTTAAACGTGCTTTACTTGGAGTAATTCTATGGTTGGTGACCTTCTTAGGAATTTTTCATACTTGGTGCATGTGGGTGAGGATAAAACACACTAAAAGGACTCGTGTTAGTCTGTGGAGATAGTCATCACTTTTATGCAAGAAGTAGGTAGTGTGTCTATGTCGTAGGAGAATGTCGGGGTCATCAATTGTCGAATACAGATTCTGAATCTTGATTCTTATCTTGGACATGAGCGGTGAACACTACAAGAAACTTGCCATTAATAGCTTCCCACTAGAAATTTAGAAAATATGGTAGGAGAGATATAATTAAAAAAAAAATCAATAAAAAACAACGTGCAAAAATGGTAACATATTAACATAGTTAAATATATCTCATGAAATTAAAGACAACTAAATACCAACATTTTTTTAGAATTAGTTAGAGTAAGAAAAATATAAAGGTACCTCGTAAAATTAAATAAATAATAAAAATAATTAATTTAAAGATATTGTATATAACAAAAATAAAAAATACTATAAAAATATTTAATTATAATTGAGGTATGTTTACTTATAGAGATCTTAGAAAAATATAAAAAAAAAAAATATGAAATGTGATATAAAAATGTTGCAATAAATATATAATAAATACATTAAAATTTAGAATTATTTATTTTAATTTAATAACATAATGTATTTAAATTAATTTTCTATCCACGGTATGTTGATCCAGAAGATACGGTAACACTATAACATTTAAATTTTTAGAATCATTTTGAATACGATAAACATTTGTTTCAAAATAATTTAAATGTATGTATAAATCATAATTAATAAACCTATCATAAATTATATAATTAAATAATGGTTTGTTAGTTTATTTATATCGTAAACAATATATTTAAAAATAGTATAAAATGTGTGAATAATTATTTAAGAGTAGAATAAAATGTATTAATAGTCCACACACAAATTAAAAATAATAAAATAATATAAAAAAATTTGAATAAATTAATTAAAAAGAAACACGAATTTGTCAAGCGTCTAAGGGCATTGGCAAACCAATTAGTATAGAGAGATTTTTAATATATTTTATATATTTTTATTTGGTTTGAGTCAACTTGAAGGTTTTGTCCTACGTACCCGAAACCTAACCAATTCACTTCGAGTTTAGAAAAATGAACTCAACCCTACCCGAAATGCTAATCCAACCCAACCCAACCCAACCCTTATGGCTCGGGTTGAGTTGGTCTTGGTTGTCGGGTTGAATGTACACCCCTAATTTCTTCAATTCCTGTTGTTATCAGGCAAAGCGATTTGCTGGCAGGGATGATTTTAGGCGCTATAATTTTAGACTTCTTTTGGAGCTTACCAATAGAGATTTTTATATTAGAGTCAACAGCGTAGGTAAATGTTGAAATTATTTTTTCTCTATAGAAATCGATTGAATCTTTGGTTTCATCTGGTTGATCGAGATAGAAGATAAGCTTTTGGAACAAAATGTTGTTATTTTAGGAGCTTTGATTATGAGTTGTTTTATGATTTATTGCAGCTACTCTCGGATCAACTTTAGCTGCACATCGAACAAAGCCTCGAGTTTATATTGGTTGCATGAAGTGAGAATTACTTCTATGTTTGTCGCTAACGCTAATTGTCGAAATCTGTAATCTTTGATTTCCTAAACATTTTTTTTTTCTTTGCCACAAGAGAGTAAAGTAGCATTGGATATTTGGTGGAGAACGAAACAAGTACTTTCGTCATGCCACGGGGCAACTTTATGCAATTTCAACGGAGTTAGCAAAGTATATACGAAAGAATTAGTAAGTTGTCATCCTCACAATCCCAGATTGCTTCACTAATCAACTTTTCTTATCGACACATTGTTTCTAATCGGTTCTCATATCATAGACAAAGCTAATTATAATTATCTTTCATTCCAAGTTATAACTTGCATCTACGTGTTTCATATTGGCCTAGAGTTTGCTCCCGTAAATATAGTCATCCAGCTCACTTCAAAACAACAAGGCTCTATTCTTATTATGAGATTATTAAAAAAATGCACCGTGCTTTTTATATAAAACTAGCATAACAAGATCATTCTGAATTAAATATGTGCATGTGCTGCATAACATGTTCTCTGATTCTGTTGGCTTGATTTTCTTTATGTTATTATTACTCTTTTAAATTCTCATCTTCCAACCCCGTCCACGAATGAAGTTTGCTTGTTGAATTTATTATGGGCGGTAAAAACATTTTCATTCCTTAATGTTTTTATGTGTTAGTCATATTTTTTAAAATACACATTCTTTTTGTTCTACTGGTTTGTCTTCATATCATAGGTGATGGAATTGGGTGTTTGTTTACGGTCTTATGCTGCTTAACATTCTCTCAAAATTATGAAATAGAGTAAGGTTAGTCCATTGGAACCTTTTTGTAGACAGACATGGAAAAATTCGTCAGTATTAGAAGGTAGCAGTAGCACGAGGAATGTAAAGACTCCTACGTCAGGTATCGTGCTGACATAGATCCTTTTGGTTTTTGCTTCTGTTATTTTTTTCGATGAACATAGACTCCTACGTCAATTTTTCGATGAACTATTGTGTGTATTCGTCCTTCGTAGAAGTATGATCTGACATGGATATTTTGAGCTAGATCGATGTTTATTGAATACGATGATTGTCGATATTAAGAATGTATACCTCATTCAAACATGGTTGCATTTTTACTTGAAAAAAAAAAATAGCACGTTGCAAGACAAACACATGCAATCATGATGGGACCTACGAACATCATGACATTAGTCTCTACTTTCTAGTTCGGACATAATTGAATGTGTAGTATTTCTCTATACACGGTTGAGCACGCACACATAGACCCACCAAGTAGGCTCATATATCACGCACACATGGACCCACCAAGTAGGCTCATATATCATACCCTCTGGGTTTAACTGTCGGGCTAGCGTATACTCACCTTATTGGAAGCCACAGAGGGAAAGAAGCAAGCATAATATCACAGTGTACATAATATTGTAGTGTACGTCTCCGTACTAATCATAACGGAAGTATCCGATACACTTGACATACAAAATACATAAGGTCACGGAGCATCAAAACATGACATATAATTATAACACAAATCATACCTTATTCTTTTCCTAACATAGCGCTCCCATGAGACATACGTATGTAATACTTATCTTATGTTTCACGATTAATATACTTGTCTTTCTAATGTCTCATAGGCATAGAACGGCTAAATTAACATAGTTTACATGGCGTAGCATATGGAGGTTCATGCATCATACAATATCGATAGCACAACATAACTTCATACCATATCATATCATAGAATAACTTATAACATAGCATAGCATAACTTGTTTCACAACATAACAAATATCATAGCATAACATAACATAGTACCCGTCAACCAATCACAAGACATGACTCGTCTAGGTACCACAGAACACACGTCATTCATACAACAAACAAGTCATTCAACCAAGTCAATAGTAAAGCCACTTAGTTGCCCTTATTCCTCGATTTGCTTCTTACCCAAGACATTGAGTTATGGCATAATATACCATTCAATTCATCGAACAGCAGCAATTTAAATCAACTTTTAGTTAAAAAATACGTTAAAAGTGACCAAACAAAAGTCAAACTTACCTCAAACGCTACTAAATATGTCTGAATGTAAACTAGTTACATTAGATCTCGATATGTTTTGGGCATGACGAGTATAATAGAAACTTTAATAGTAACAATATCCTTTTAAGTTTGATACATAGATAAAGGGCATGGATGCAAAGAGATATCATAATGTTTTTATTGTTGTACTAATCTCATCGAGTAGTTGCCACCATCATTTTACCAATGATTTGCTTGCCATTCGCTTCTCATCAATCATCCAACTCCTTCTTATATCCTACCAAAATTAACGAACAATAATAAGAACAACAACAACGAGTACCTACAAACATAATCATTCATACAAATTGAATCGAGCAAACTATTGGAATAGGAAGATCTAATGTAACCGTTCAAGCCCACGCTGGTAGATATTGTCTTCATGTTTATGTGGGATCTCACAATTCACCCCATTGGAGACCCAGCATCATCGATGGCACACCACCTGGTGTCTAGATCTGATATCGATATCATTTGTAATGGCTCAAATCTACCATTAGTAGATATTGCCCACTTTGGTTCATTACCCATTGTCGTTTGTCTTATGGTTTTAAAACGCGTCTAATAGGGAGAAGTTTCCACATCGTGATAAGAAATGTTTCATTTCCCTCTCCAATCAATGCGGAATCACACATAATAGCCTGAAAGTTTGATCAACCCAATCCAACTTGTATTGATTTGAATTCAATTATAAATTTATCTGAGTTAGTTTAGTTGAAATAAATAAAAATTTATGAATTAAGATAAATTTATAGTTATTCAAACTAAATAAAATCATTATTAATCAATAAATAAGTCACTTTCATCATAAACATAAATCCAACTA